GTGGATGTACTGCCTGAGAGTGCCTGTGTGCCTTATTAAAGAGTGACGGGGGGGGGGATCCTGATGTTTCCTTGCAGTACAAGAGAGAGCATCAAAGGGAAAGCCAGGATGTAAGGCTTGCAGCTACTGTAAGGGATAGTTAATCTTAAAGCACCAACTCCTCACCCCAAGCTGATACCAAATAGTGAAAGCAGAGAGGCTATATTTCCCCAGCAATCCCACACTGTTTTGCTTTATACTGTGCTCAGTGGTGAATCCAGGAAAGTTCTGGTCTGAGCCAGCTGGATGCAGCTGGACTGAGACATTGATGTGCAACACTGCAGCTGCTGCCCCTCCTTCTTCATGCAGGCCTCATGCCCAGTTGTCTCTTACTTTGTTGGGCAGCCAAGGAGGTGGCTCTCAGCCATCCTGGGATTTCCCTTTCCTCAGAAGTCCTCGTTTGGTTTAGCCAGCCAGTTTTCCCAGCCTTCTAGGTACAGTCACCCATGCTAATTGCCATCATCAGCCACTGGCATTCAGTTTTCAGAACTGGATGAGATTCCATTCCTTTTCTCGGCTTGTGTGTATGAGGGAGGATTAGTAGGTCCAGAATGCATTGCTCTGGTTTGGGAGATTTGCTGCCAGAAGCCTCACATGTTGCCTGACTGGCAGGATATTGCTCTACAGTAGTTTTTTCCTAAGAAGGAGAAATGTTTGGACTCTGATGCTTCTGACCTGGAAGTCCTTTCCCCCTAATCTCATATGGAGACTAGTTATGGTTGTTTATAAGTGAATGAAAGGCACTCTGATTATACTCAAAGATTATACTCTTACTAGGAATAAGGCCTGTTGTGGAAATAAATACAATGAGATCTAGAAAGAGGCTCTGGGCGGGTGCCATGACCTTGGGCATTCAGCATCAATTTGCTGTGGCAACTTCAGCCAAGTGTAATGACACAGAGACCTCTGTTTTCTCCAGGGGAACTGATCTCTGCCATCTGGAGAGCAGTTGTAATTCCCCTGGAGATTGGCAACAATGATTCCCCAGGAGGAAATGGCTGGTTTGGGGGTGGAGTCTATGGTATTGTACCTTCTGAGGTCCCATCCCTCCTCAAACCCCACCCGCTCCAGGCTCCACCCCTCAAATCTCCAGGAATTTCCCAACCTGGAATTGACAACCCTATCTCCTTCCCAGCCAACCATCAACCTACCTTTATCTGCCCCTCTGACTTCAGCTTTCCATCTCCCCCCCCCACCTGCAGCCTCTACCCAGTAAAAGTACAGTCTTTCTCCACAGTGGAGACCCAAGCAGGAGGGAAATGAACTCAGCAGGGTATAATGACACAGTCTACCCTGCAAAGCAGCCTTTTTCTCCAGGGGAACTGATCTCTGCCATTTGGAAAGCAGTTTTAATTCTGAGTGATCTCCAGCCCTCACCTGGGGTTTGGCAGCAGTGGTTCCCAAGAGCAAATAACTGCTTTGGCATTCTACTCTCCTGAGGTCTTTCCCCTCCCCAAACTCTGGCTTCTGTAGACTCCACCACAAAATCTCCAGGAATTTCCTAACCTGGAGCTGGCAATCCTAGAGGACTGGCCCCGATGAGTTTCCCACAAAGGCCAAAGTAGGCCTGGAATGGGCCTCCTGCCTTTGTCTTTTTACTAAAAAAAAATGAACTTGGTTGCCTAGCAACAGCCACTGAGGAAAAAGTTAGCCCCACAGCAGGAGGAGAAGAAACTGGTTTGACAGCGAGTGGCCCACCTCAGTAAGCCAGCCGTACAGGAGCCAAGCAGGAGAAGCATCTTCGTCAGGAGAGACAACCGTTTTGGCAGTTTATTCTGTCAGGGAAGAGTGGCCTGGCTGGCAGTGAGCGGGGGAGAGGAGCAGACCCAGCCCCCAGCCAATGGCACGTGAGTACACTTGAGTGGTGGTTGATGGGCCAATGGCTGATAGAGCGCACAGCACAGGCAATGGGAGAGCCGGAAAGTGCCAATACCCTGGGTTTTTATATACACAGGATATTGTGTAATAAGTTCCATTACTAAATCATAGTTTTGCTAGGTTTCCATTGCTGACCTCTGGTGATCCTTGTTTGATGCTCTTAACCATGGTTTGGGGAGTTGAGTTAAGTTCTCCTTTCCATCCTAGCAGAGCTGCTCAACTATTTGGCATTTACACACTTCAGTTACAGATTCAGGTTGGGTAGCTGTGTTGGTCTGAAATAGCAGAACAAAGTTTGAGTCCAGTGGCACCTTTAAGACCAACAAAGTTTTATTCACAGTATAAGCATGCTTGCACATAAAGTTTGTAATGTGAATAAAACTCTGTTGGTCTTAAAGGTGCCACTGGACTCAAACTTTGTTCTGACACGTCAGTTATGTAAAATGTGCTTGAGATGTTCCTTCTCACTATGCCTGGTTAAAGACATGACAATCTAGGGGGAAATGGAAATAAACTCTTTTTCTCTGATGCTCAGTATGAAAAAAACTACAAATATTGGGGAGAAAAGCCTGTTTCTGGTACATGTTAATGTCCTCTGCTATTCTCTCCCTTGGATTTATTTTTTGGCTTTTGGCTGCCTGAATGCCTGAACCCCTGCTTTAGGAGTTGAATCTCTGCCTGGAAACTGTATAGATAGTATGGTATAAGCCACCTTCATGTATCTCTGTAACCTCTTCCCTCCTCCACCACTGCATAGCAGCAATAAGAACCATGTTGCCATGGGGAAGAAGCCCTGGTTAGGCCCTCAGTGTACCTTTCAGCATTTGGGGAGGAGTGCTGCACTTTATCAGCAGACCCCTATTGCCACTTGTGTGTGCCGTCATTGCCCAGATTGGGGCCTCCCCAAGCTTTTGTTTTGGAACCTAAGAACGCCAGCTGCTCCTCTAGCCTAGAAATGAGAGGCAGTGAAGGGAGGGCTCAGGCAACCCTAGTGTGACTCTGGATGAAGTTGGGAGTGTGGGCCTCCTTGACACAGACATGTGTCCCTCCAGTCACACACACTGTAGCAGCACACTCATTAAGAAACATTAACAGTATTTTGCCAAATCTTAGCCTCTAAGCAGGTGGCATTTTAAGGAAGAAATAGAAATGTTCACAGGAAGTCATGACAGTACTATTTGTAAGACCTTATAATGCAGACTTCCTCTTTTACTTACCATAATGTTGGGGATTTCTGTTCTCTACCCACCCATGCCCCTCAGTTTACCACCTGCCAAAAAAGATATATTAAGGTGTTGCATGTTTGTTATTTTTATTAAGTTTAACCCACGCTCTCAGCCGAGAAGTTCTCCAGGTGGCTTGCAATGTACAAGCAGGCAACCTGTAAAATTTAGTAAAAACAGCACAATAAAACTATAGCGTTGTTAAAGAAAACTAATGACAGCATAAACAGAAGACTTACTCTGTCAGCTCAAAATGATCAAAAGCTACAGTGGTAACAAAAATCTTAGAAGAGCAGCAAGAAATTGTAAAACAGCTTTTAATATCTGAGGACAAGCAAGGGAAGTTCAGATACATCAAAACCAGCCAAATTAATTAGATGCAGCCGTTCATAAATGCCTGGGCAAACAAAATTGTTTGTATGAGGCACCAAAAAGTCAAAAGTTGTGGCCCCAGTCAGATGGTTATGGAGAAGTCATGCTAAGGCAGCAGAAAAGGCCCTAGTGGCAGCTTCATCTCTGGTTTGGTATGTTTGCAATCTTTAAAAGAAAAATCAAGAACGGCTTGGTATTTGTTATTTTATCCTGGTTTTAACTGGAAATGTTTTAACTATTATTGTAAGTGGCCTTAAACCATGTGAAAAGGCTGGGTATAAATATTTTAATAAATAAGAGTATCAGAAATTGTTTATTTAAAAATAGCTTCTACCCCAGCTCCACCTTTCTACTTAAAATAGCCTGCTGTTCAAAATTTCCATAGATTTTACATGACTATATATGGATCTCTTCTAGTATTCACTCATGGGACATTTTAGGATGATGCTAAACCTAGTCAGAGCAAGGCTGGCCCGTTTCAGTTCTGTAGCACTTTACCCCCTGTTCCCACGTAGTTACTGTAGTTGTCTGTGTAACTAATTAATCATGAGCACCAAAAGGAGACCTGACCAGAATAATTGTACTGTAGATTGTCTACATTCCTTAAGCGATGATCATGTCTCATTTGTGGTCTTGATAAAGCCACAAGTGGACCACCTCCCATGATCTACCTTTGTTTTACTTTTTAGTCTCCCACTCCCTTTGAGCTGTAGGCTTCTTTCCCTTTTCCCAGCAGCTCTAATTTCTGTGCACATTTCTGTTGCATAAAATCTCAGAGTTGAATTAATATATAAAGTGTGTATTTTGTAACACATACACTTTGGAAATAATAACACTGGCATCTGCGTAACTTGTTACTATGACTGTCTTAAAACTCTGATACACTTTTTTCACTGTGGCAGAGTAGTGCTCCCTCTCTCAAGTGCTTTCAACTGTTTAGTAAAGCAGGGAGCCAGCAGATACCTGAAGTGATTGTATCAGACCACGAATAGCTCCCACAGAAATGTAGATACTAAAAATGAAAGCAGAGCCAGAAATGCTTCTGCATCTGAAGAAGAAGAAGGAAGAGATTGGATTTATACCCCCCCTTCACTACCCAAGGGAGTCTCAGAGTGGCTTACAAACTCCTTTCCCTTCCCCTCCCCACAACAGACAACCTGTGAGGTAGGTGGGGCTGAGAGAACTCTGACACAAACTGCTCTTTCAGGAACAGCTGTGCCAGAGCTTGTGACTGACCCAAGGTCACATCAGCAGGTGCAAGTGGAGGAATGGGGAATCAAACCCGGTTCTCCCAGATTAGAGTCCGCGCACTTAACCACTACACCAATCTGGGCTGAGAGCTAACAGCTGGACCCAAGGCAATGTGATGGATATTGCCTGGCAGCTTTGCTGGGCTATACTCGTGTCAAGGGGTAGGGTATATGCTTTGTCTTTGCTCATCTCTAGCTCTGTCAGATCACTTCCACCTTCTCTTTACTGTGATTGCAGGTTCCAAGCCAAGGAGACATTTCCCCAGAAAATATGCCATCATCCTAGGACTTCTTCTTGGAGTGTCTCTACTTGGTTTAATCGCAGTGGTTGTTGCTCAGAAACACGCTACCAGAAAAAACAATAAAGTAGGTGACAGAACTGCTGAAGCATTGTAAAGGGAATGGCTGTGACTCAGTGGCAGAGCATCTGCTTGGCATGCAGGAGGTTCTAGGTTCAGTCCCCACGATCTCCAGTTAAAAGGATCGGGTGGTAGTAAATGGTGTGAAAGATCTCTGTTTGAGACCCTGGGGAGCTGCTGACAGTCTAGTAGACATTACTGACTTTGATAGACCAACTCAGTATAAGGAATGACTATTGATTCCGAGACTGCACGATGGCATACACTAGGGTTCTGTGAGTGGGGCTGAAGGGCCCTTTGAAAACTTAATCCACCATGGGAATCCCAATGCAATATTAATCGTTCCTTTGGTAATGGCATGCATGCAATGATATCACCTGGGCGGAAGAATCAAGAGTACACAGAATCTCTGTGGTTATTTATGCAACAGGCATGGGGCAACCTCAGAGGCATTGTCACTGCTCTGAAAAGATGACCCGATTCCTGAGCCCACACGGACTAGGCAAAGGGCAGTATTAACTGTTGTATGCTATGATACCTACTCTCATTAGAGGTTATGTGAATTTTCCTAAGTGTGAGAATAAAGTATGTCTCCAATCCAGAAAAAAACCCTGTGCTTCAAGCCAGCAATTGTCCATCTTTAGTGATCCAAGGATCCCCATGTTGATCACTGGTGGCTTTCATGCATCTTTACCTCAGTTCTGGAGGCGAAGGGTTAACTGTCACCCATTCCTTCCTCCTCCTCCCTGTCCCAACGTGCTGCTTGCCCAGTTGAAAGGCAGAGAATCTGATACACAGAAAGCTATAATGGTATTCAGTTGATGTTTTTTAAAAGCCGTTGATGGGGGGTGGTCACAACAGGAGCAAGGAAAATAGTCACAGTGTGGGTGGGATCAGGTAGATACGAACTTTCCCACCCATATGGCAAGCATACAGGCTTTACTGTGATCATCTGCAAAACTTATTTGCAAAGCAGGTTTGGGAAAGGTCAGAGAAAAGCCAGGACATACCTTGCAGGTACATGAATGTACCACAGTGCTGTGGGGAAGCAAGAAAAACCCTGCTTACCAACAGCATTGAACCCAGTGCAGATAACTTGTGTGGAAAAGGTCATATAAATTTTTTAAAAAACTTGTGTGGAAAAGGTCTAAGTATCAGGAAAAAAATGGTTCCCAAAGCCTGACCTCAGAGATCCCACACCCCAAGGAGTTTCCTTCAAAGCCATATACTGAGGGGCTAATGATCTTTCCCTCTTCCTGTAGGCCAGATCCCAGTATGACCCACACGTGTCAGAGTGATCTACTAGGCCAAAACTTACCACATCTTATATGGATGTACTCCGTTTGAAGCCCAAAATATGTAGTGACAAAGTGCAGTTCATAAGGGTTCCAATTGGGGACATTAACAGTGTTTGCTAGTCTGAAATGCAGTTATAACTCAGCAGCACTTAAAATGTGAAATGTAACAATTAATTACTTCCAAGTAACAACCTGACATGCAGGAAACAGAGAAATGGTTTGTGGGTTGTTCTTCCCTTTCTCCAGCTATCCAAGGGTGTTTTTTTAATAGCTAATAGAAACAAATTATGGTGATAATTCTATACTCATAAGCAATGTTCCCTCTAAGCTGTGGAGTCTTGTGAGCAAAACTTGTACTTTGTGAGCGACTGGCATTAAAGTTGTGAGCGAGCCATTTGGCTGCTGCATAAATCCGTTTGCTCTGGAGCCCTCCTTCCTGAGCCGAGACACAAATGTGTGAGCCGGAGGCTGAAAAACTGTGAGCTAGCTCACACTAACTCAGCTTAGAGGGAACACTGCTCATAAGTACATCTCAGTCACACTGTCCTAATGAGCTGCATTACTTGGAATGATATTGTGGCTTTGTTTCTTCTGCAGTATGGTATTGTGCTGGATGCTGGCTCTTCTCACACAAGCATGTATACATATCAATGGCCAGCAGAGAAGGCAAATGACACAGGAGTAGTGATGCAGATTGATATGTGCGAAGTTAAAGGTAAGGAAATGGGAAGGTTGGGGCTGATTGTAATACAGGAGAAACATTAGGGCAAAGAGATGGAAAGAAGCATACTCAACCAGAAGGCAAAAATTGTTTGCTTCACACCTTGAAAGTGTCCTCAGACTGATCACATAGTTCACCATATCTTGGTGAACAGTTTGAATTACCTTGGAACAGAACTAGAGATGTACAATTTCCGGAAATTTTGAAGCTTGGAAAAAAACCTGGGTTTTTTCCAGTTTTTTTCGGGGGGAAACGGAAATTTTCGGAAAAATTGTAAAAATGCTACATTAGCATTTCTTTTGTCTTTTCTAGACTGAAAGTCATTCTGTTACTTTAGGAACATAAAATATGACTATGGACATTTTTACTTGGCATGAAATTATCACAACTAGCATATTAAAAATATATTGTGTCCAAACAATTATTACAAACAGGATACCCACCCACATGCAAAAATAAAACTGAAACCTTTTTATTTTCTTCTGACAATAGCACCTTCTAAAGGAAGAAATGCATCTTGTTCTTGCATTGGAGAGTTCAGTTTGTAACCTAGGACTTGCTTGAACACCTTGTCTTAAAATATTTTATTCATCATGTTAAAATAAAACGTTCCATAATCAATTTTTTTTTCTTTTTTTAATTTTTCGGAAAAAAACAAAAAAGGCTTCAGGAAAAAAACGGGGGGCAAACGTTTCCCCCCCCCCGAATATCTCTCTCTCTCTCTCTCTCT